ACGAACATAATAATCAAAATCAAGTGATAAGATTGCAAAGTTTAACTATACAATAGCGATAGATTTTGTTAACTAATTTCATTAGGCTAAAGCAATATGTATTAAGCAAATAACAATCACATAATTTTACTAGCATTTAAAGAAGTTATTTTCTTGATGCATAATATATAAGTCTAACGAAATCTATTGACAAGTCCTATATTGATGATTATACTTACTTTAGGACACAGATAATCCAAGGAAATAATTGAAGCTATAGAAGATTATTATGATTTTGACAAATATACTTAAAGGCACTGATAAATTCTGTTCCAAAAGATATGATTAAGAAAGTTTGGAGAATTACTCCCTATATGACACCAAATTCATATCAGTATATTATTTTACTCGATGATAGTACATATTTGTATACATGTTTGCTTTTAGTTTCACGTGGTATTGTCTGCCAACATTATTTTAAGTTGATGGTGGAGAATCCAAATGCACTTTTTCATATAATGCTGATGCCAACCAGGTGGTTTCAAAATGAGTTTTGGGAATGTCTGGATCATATTTCTAAAGAACCGTTTATTGGACTATCATCTCGAAAAGTTCATGATTATGATGTACAACAAATTTTTCCTAAACATCGCAATAATATTCAAGAATTAGAAATTCAGTATCATATATATAAAAAGATAGAATTTGGTAGACTTATAGGTAATTTTAAGAAGGCTCTAAACTATTCTATGGAAGATAATGATCAAAAGACCTTGAACGAACTTATTTTATCTTATATTTCAAGGAAAGAAAAAAAATGTTAGGCTAAAGCTCAATTAGATATTATTAAAGACCAGGTATCGAATAATACTGTGAGATTAATTAACGGCTGTATATACAATACTGATGACATTAAAGATCCACTAGTACGCCGTGATAAAGGTAGACCTGCTACTAAACATTTAAAAGCTTTTACAGAAGAAAATAATATGACAAACACTAGTAATATGAGGCGTTCTAGTAGTGTTAGTGAAGAGAAAGGAATTGGGGTATTAGGTGTGTACAAATGTAGCTTGTGTTATGAAACAGGACATTATACTCCTAAGTGTCCTAATCAGGATAGTTAATATATATAGTTAGGAATATAAGCTAATTATATCATAGTTAACTTATATAAATAGATATTTTTAATGTGAAATTGGCACTGTACCTTCAATGTGAAACCATATTATTAGAATATATAAAACTTGTATTATACACTTTCGAAAATCAAATTCTATAACATTTTTTGGATGTTTCACTTGACACAATATATATATTTTTCTACTGTTATTCTAATTTAGTGACACAAATATACGATACTTTTTCCAAACCAATTAGAGTACAGCTTTAA